GGGGTGGGGGAGAAGAGATGCTTAGGCACAACAGGGCAGCAATGGGGAGGGGAGCTCAGGCAGTAACGGAGTGGGGGAAGGGAGGCTTGGACATGACAGGGCAGTGTGTGCGTGGGTGGGGGCAGTCTCGTATGGGTGAGTCCTTCCCTGTCCCTCCTGGTGCCTAGGCAGAGAGCCCTGAGGTGACTGCTGGGCGCTTGGGGCCAGCTCCAGCCTGGAGCAGGGCTGGCAGTGAGGCCACGCCATGAGAGCCACATCATGTGCATTGGAGGCCATGCCCACCCACCTGCTCACTGCACCTGGCTGGCGGCACCCAGTGCCTCTCAGAAGCAGCCCTGGCCCAGCAGCTTCCCCAGGCACCTGCAGCCCCGCACCTATTTGCGCATGCCCAGGAACCACTTCTCAGTCAGTTGGTCGAGCATGGTAGCAGGACAGCGGCTGCAGCATAGGGAGGTGTTTGCAGCAGTAGCGGGCCCACAGCTTGTGGCACAGGCAGCTCATTCAAGAAGCCCTGGCAGCCGCCGGAGCACGATGGGCCCCTGGTCCCACCACTGGCTTCAGGCTGGCCCTGGCTGCGGCCCCAGCGCAGCCCATGGCACAGGGAATACTGCAACCCACAAGGGCAGCCAGCACCCTGAGGCACAGCATGGCTGAGTAGGTCTCCAGCACTTCTTTGAGGCAGCTGCCTACCACCAACAGTTCCCCATGGCTCAGTAGCAGCTCCTGTTCTCCCTCAACTTCCCTGCAGGTGGGGGCAACAGCCTGGGATGGACTGCCTCCTTCCACCCCCACAAACAAACCCAGTCTGGGGCCTGGGAAGTGGGGGGCAGTCCCTCCCAGACTGTTGGCTCCCTGCCTCATGGCCCCCACCCCCTCCACTGTAGCGGCAGCCTGACAGGGGCTGCTGTGTTCCTGCTAAGCAAACCCCAGCTAGGGTCCTACGCTAGTGGGAGAGGGGATTTAAACTCTCCTCCCTGCCTCAGCCTGCCAGCTGACACCTCCACTCCAGTGGGGAAAAGTCTGGCAGGGGTTGTTCTCACCGCTTCCCACACCCAGCTGTGGTCCCGTTAGGTCTCCCACCCCCACTGTCTTGTCAGCCAGCCCTCACTGCTGTGGCACAGCACAGCCCAGGGCTGTAAAGCATGTTTGGATGCTGGGGGACTGCGATTCAACTTAAACCAGGATGGGGTCTAGAACAGAAGCTTCATAAACTACATTCAACCAAGTCTGTCTTAAACCAGTTTCAGCCATTTTGAAACTGGTTTATGTGTACTGAACTCCTGTTCTGTTACAGGTTTAAACCAGTTTCTGATCACTTAAATGGGTTTGTCTGCAACTTCTGTACCTAGCTTTACAGCACCAACTAAGTCTAAAAGTAGCTGTGATCATTCAGCACTACTGAAGTCAGGCCTAAGTTGGTTGGATATGTTGAAGCACATCAAACCACACTCCAGTGTTGAAGTACTAGCCTTGATGCCTGTGCCTTGCTTGTTCCATCTCTAAGAATGGGGGTGATAACATTTAGGCACATTTTATATATCGTTTAAGATCCTCTGGTGACTGGAAGGGGTTACTGTCATAGGACTGGAAAACAGGCTTTTACTCTTAGAGCAACAGGTTTTTCACTTTCAAACTTACAAAGCAGACATAAAAAATAAAGGGCTTACTGACATGAAAAATGTCCCGACAGCCTCAAGAGAGCCCAGAGAGATGCAGTGGTGCTTCTGGAAGGCCAGGGGCCATCATGTACACATCAATTAGACTGCATTGCTCTATTTCTGGGACCCTGACATACTTAGATGAGAAAATAAGTAATTCCCCTCCTCTGTGCCCGCTCCCCCCGAGAAATCCCGATCACCTTTCTCCCCATCCACATATCCTGTGCAAGGCCCCCTCGATTGCGCACGGAGGTTTGTGGCAGGCAGCTAGCGCGGCACCCCGGAGCGGTTCCGCTGGCTCGTGGCCGCCCCCCCGCTTGGCCTCCACGCTAAGGGATTCCCTCGCGGCCTCTGCTTTTGGGACCGCGGCCCGGGGCTCCACGTGTGAGGGGCCGCGGCCGCTCGCT